GTAAGATGACATTTATGCAGATATTTATTACAGACACATGCAAAAGTTGTAGGGTAAACAACAGATTCATTTAAGAACATATTGTGTGAAATTTAAAAAAAATGCAAAGCAAATCTAATACAAAACCAAAATAATATGATAAGAAATACATACATACAATGCTTGACATGTGCTTGCCCCTTTGCATTGTGGGATATTCTCTAACAGGTGTTCAACTGGATGTGTACCCGGTATATAACATATCCAGAAATGTTGTTATTTAGTATATAATGTACTAGCTAGATATAGACATTCAAACAACACTTAGCCTTCATGTACTGGTAGATTATTTTTTGTTCAAACATGTCTATAATTTGTCTGTGATTAGTATGCGTATAGGCCAGGGACCATGTATATTTTTCCAGTATTTACCAGGCTAAAGAAGAGAAGAGTATATGCGAAGATCATGTGTGAGGTGAAGCATCTAGACCTTTGTCTGAATTCAATATGAGGCTGTGGAGATTCATTATTACTGTTATAAATAACAACAATCGGAACTGAACAAATTTAGTTAAATTTTAAGGTTTTGACTTAAAAGTATTTACAATATCATGTGATAATCTAAAGGTATGATGTCATAAACATCTCTAATTCTGATAGTTGTGATTAGTAATTGGGAGCATATGACAGTGTATGATGTGTGGTCCCTGGGGTGCTGGCCATCGAATGGCAATATTACAAAACGTAAACACTGGTGAACTTTATCCTAAATTGCTAGCATGGTTGCATATTTTATCCTTATGCTATCAAATCTATGTACATTTTGAACAAAAGTACTGGTACTGACCCTCCAATTCCTGAGCTCTCAGCCCCAATAAGACCCATGCATAGCATAGTGGCGACAGCTCCATCTACAGCATGGCCACCTTTCTTCAAGATTTCAACACCAACTTGAGAACATTGCTCTACTCCACATGACACTGCTCCATGTGTAGCAACCTAATGAGGAAGAAGATGAAGTAAATGAGTGAGCAATAACTCAATCAATATGGAATGAGTGAGCAATAACCCCATCAATATGGAACAAGTCATTGTCAATGATACGTCCCCGTTCCGTTCATATTTGAGTGACATATACATTCAAAGCAGATCATGACCGAAATGCACCTGCATATGTACAACACATTGTGCTAAATCTGAACAAAATCCATCCATGCATGACTGA